GCTTGGGCCCTGCACCTGCATGGGAGACCAGGAGGAAGCACCTGGCTCCCGGCTTCGGATCAGCTCAGTGCTGGCCGTAGCAGCCATTTAGGGGATGAACCAATGGAAGGAAGACCCTTCTCTTTGTCTAACTCTGCCTGTCCAAAAAAAAAAAAAAAAAAAAAAAAAAAAGAATCTGCAAATTGCTCAGTGTTGGCTCGTTGATGCAGGCCGATCAAAACCACCCCCCGGGAAGACCTGCAGCAGATGGACGTGCCCGGTGTCCATCTGATCGCCTCAGGGGACGCCACTGTAAGCTGACAGTATCAGTGCTGGCAGCCTGTGCAGCATGGTGGCCTGAGTCCACAGTCCACAGGGAGCGATGATTCTGTCTCTGAGCAGATTCTCTAAGCGAGCGGGCAGATGCCGGCCTGCACAAGAACCACCGCAGACACTTGTTAAAAGGCGGATTCCTGAGGCGCACTACCTCAGATGCTGAGAGGGGGCATCCAAGAATTTGTATTTAAAAATGTGTTTTTAAATAGAACTTATTTCCCTAAACCCAGTAGCTTCTTTCATTATCATTTTACACTATTATGATTTATTTGTGACAAATTAATATGCCACACTTGGAACAGGCGCTTGGCCTAGCAGCTAAGATGTGCTTGTCCCATGTTGAAGTGCCTGGGTTCGAGTCCTGGCTCTGGTTCCTGAATCCAGCTTCCTGCCAATGCAGACTCTGGGAGGTAGTTGGGTTTCTGCCACCCATGTGGAAGACATGGATTGGCATTTGAAGAGTAAACCAGCAGATGGGAGTTCTGTCTGTCTCTCTTTCGATGCTTCCTGAATTCAAAAAAATATATATGCAAGCATTTGTATTATAATATCATTGTGATATTATAGTTGTAGTATATATTAACATGTATGTATAATATATGTAAACATGTCTACATATAAAACTGACCAGTATAGACACATTGGCATTAACGAAAGCCCATGCTGATTTCAGACCGCTTCATTTGTCCCCTGATGTCCTTTCCTGCTCCAGGATCCCATCCAAGCTGCCACATTACAGTTTGCCATCAAGTCTCCCTGGGCTCCTCCTGGCTGTGACAGTCGCTTAGAGCTTCCTCGTTTTTGACAAGCATGACAGTTTTGAGGCCTACTCGTCAGGATTTGTATGGGTGTCCCTTGGTTGGACTGGACGCTTTTCTCATAAGATCGGGATAATGGGCTGTCGGGAGGAGAGCATGTGGGCAAAGCGCCGTTCCCATGGCGTCGTCTCCGGGGGACACTCTGCCAGCCAGCCTGAACACTGCTGTCGCTGGCCTGGACCACCTGGCCCAGGGAGTGTCCGGCAGGTCCCTCTCCTGTAAGCCACTGCCTCTTTCTGCCTGGACTCTGATGGGAAACACCCCCAGCCCAGACCTGCTTGAGGAGTGGGAACTCAGGTACTCAGACTGCTTCTACAAGATGGGCGTCTCTTCTCCGTCGTTTATCTCTTCAACCATGTATTTCTAGCAGTGCGGACTCAGGGATACGATTTTATACTTCGGGCTGTAACCCAATACCACTGTATTCTGTTGCTCAAATTGCTCCAAACGGGGGCACGCGGGCGCTCTTTCCGTTGTCTCCCGTGTCCCTTGGACACTCTCCCAGCGCTGCCAGGCCTTGAGTGTGCATGCGTACCTGGCTCCCCCAGGGATTCTGATGCAAGTGGTTCCAGGACCCCAGTGTGGGAAAAGTGGCTCTAGGAAGTTCCACGGAGCTTGCTAACTTGAGAACCCCCGACGAGTCCTCCAACAAGCAGGGGTCAGAGGAGCTCCTGTATGTAAGTTCTTCGCTCAGCTGACTCCTGCTGGGGGCAGCCCGCCTGCTTCCTGCAGAGCGTGCACAACTGAGCATGCCGTGGTGGCCACGTGTGAGCGGTTAACAGGCTCGGGGAGGGACATCAGGCAAAGTCACTGCTTGTGACAACGCCATCCCACAGCCTCACCTTTAGGAGGTGAATCCTCGTGGGAGGTCCTTAGGTCATTGGGGACGTGACTTGGAAAGGGAGAGAGATCTCAGTCTCTCTCTGCTTCCTGGTTTGCCATATGATCCTCTGTCCTCTGCCACAGGGCCTTGGCCTGAGCCCATGTCACAGTGTTTGGACTTCCAGCCCTCACAACTGTGTGCTAAACAAACCTCTCTTTCCTTCATAAGTAGCTTGTCTCGGGTATTTCCTTGCAGTAATGAAATGCTGACTAGGACAGGAGCTAAAGAACGATTACAAGTGTTCGCCCACGGATGAAGGGACACACGAAATGCGATAGATACACGCAATGGGGTCTCACTCAGCCTGGAGAAGGAGGGGAATTCCAACACCTACTCCATCACAGGTGCACTCTGAGGACACTTCGCTGAGTGAAATAAGCCCGACACAAGCAGATGCATACTGTCCACCCAGATGAGGTTCCCTGGATAGGCAGACCCATGGGGACAGAGAGCAGAATGGTGGCTGCCAGGCGCTGGAGGGAGGGGCTGGGGAGTTGTTGTTTAATGAATGCAGAGTTGCAGTTCTGCAAGATGGAAAGGGTTCTGTGGCAGAAGGGAGGGGGTGAGTGCAACAATGCCACTCACACGAGCCCATCACAATGGTTATGACAGTGAGTTCTACATTCTGGGTATTTGTACACGAGTACATAGTTGTACAAAGGAATCCGGCAAAGGTTAAAGCTGGAAGATATGGGTGGGCGGCCCCCAAGCCTGCTGCCCTCACCTCATTCATTCATTCCTCAACTCACCACGTGGAGCTGCACTTTCCAGGCCTTGCTCAGTGGGTTCCCATGTCTGTGTCCTCGTGGGCCTGCTGCACACCCACCCTGCAGCGTGCATGTGTGAGGGCAGCCCTCCTCTCCAGCAGTCGTAAATAATAAGTCATTTCTGCAGGCGATCATTATAGCTGATGGGCCTGGCTCACGTGTTGTCACAACTGTGGAATCCACAGCAAACCTCTGTTGTAGATGCTGTTAACGCCTCCATTTTACAGATGAGGAGTCTGAAGGCCAGGGAGGCTGTGACTGACTAGCCTTGGGTCACTCACCTGCTAAGTGAGAGCTAAGGTTTTTAAGCAGGGTGTGTTCTAGAGCCTGTGCCCTTCACTATGGGACTCTATCGCCCCCTAGTGGAGCGCCTGGTGTGCGCGGTCACGCCCACCGTTTTTACCCACGTAGGAGCCTCACTTCTGCTGCACTGCACGCCCCCTCCTTTTCCGTGGCGCCACGGCGGCTGCGTTGTGACAGACGACAGCGAGGCCTGCGTTTTGCGGCACGCTAGGGAGGGGCCCTGGACTCTCCCAGGAGCATCCCTGGTGCCTTCGGAGCTGGCGGCAGGATCCTCGGGGGTTGGGTACCGCAGCACATCAGCCCCTGCAGCAGCGTCCCTCAAGGGTGCTAAGACTCTCCCTAAGTCTCTCTCGTTGTAGAGAGCCTCAAAACGGTAAACTTGGTGTCCCCATCCCTGCTCCATAAAGTGCTTTTTTTAGATTAAGCAGCTCTCCGAGTTTCTCCCTAGAGTGTTGGCCGTGGAGGATGAGGCAGATTGGGTTTTTTCTTTTCTTTCTTTATGTTTTGCTTTTACTGGGAAGGCAGAGAGAGAAATAAAGATAGAGAGAGATAGAGATAGAGAGAGAGAGCTATATAGAGATAGAGATATAGAGAGGTAGAGATATATAGATAGGAATAGAGACAGAGATCTTCCATCTACTGGTTCACTCCCCAAAAGTCTGCAACAGCTGGGGCAGGGCCAGGCCAAAGCCAGGAGCCAGGAACTCAGTCCAGATCTCCCACGTGGGTAGTAGGGACTCAAGTTCTTGAACTCTCTCCGTTTGCTGTCTCCCAGGGTGCGCATTAAGTGGAAGCTGGAATCGGAAGCGGAGCCAGGACTAGAACCAGGCGTGGGAGACAGGCATCTCCAGTGGCATTTTCACCACTGTGCCAAATGCCCACCCCATTTTGGTTTTTTGATATCTGATTCCATTTGTTACTTTAGAAAGCTTTTCCTTTGAGTGGACTGAGACTTAGAGGCAGCAGAGCTAAGAGAGCCTGTGGCTTTCGGCAGACTGTCCCTGGCTTCTCCTTGGCTTCCTGTATGCTCCTGGCCAAACCCTCAGCCTAGTCCATGGCCCCTCCCTTGTTTTTCTCAGCCCACTGTTGCTGCAGAGCAAATGCACCTCTGTTTGTGTTACAGGACTCATGAGGGTGATAGGTGTTAAATCCTGGATGCTTTGGGCCTGAGTTTCTTACCTACCTAGTTCAGGAATTTCTCACAACAGACCAGCGGGCATCATCTTTAGAGATCAAAAAGTTTGCAGATTCTGCAGCTCCTTGGGACCCCAAGCAAGGAGGCGGAGTAGCACCTGTCAGGCCAAGAATATCCCCGTCCTCTCTGTATCGCAATATGCAGGTTGGGAGGGCTCCTACCGCTGTCCCCAACGCAACCTGGAACAGATTGGCACTTTCTGTCTCCGGTTCCCCTGGCTGTGTGCGAGCAATGCCCGTTGCTGAGTAAGAAGCAGACAGGGCCAAGGTCAGGACACCCCACTTCATGGGGAAGCCTTGTTTGTGGTTCCCACCACTGCCTTGACCCCTTGACCCCCCCCCCCCTTCTTCACCCAGGGCATCAGCAGTGACTCCCTCCCGTGCCACACATTTCTGATGATGGCCCTGAGGTTAGGTCTTCGCCTGCCTCCGTGAGTTCCTGGCCACAGGTGACTGGGAACAGGATTTCAGTGCTACCTGGAAGCAGCTGATTTCTTTTGAAATACTACAAAAAAGAAAAGGTAGATTTTTTAAAAAAAAAGATTTATTTATTTATTTGAAAGGCAAGATACTGAGATTTTTCCATCCACTGGTTCACCCGTCAGTTGGCTGCAACAGTGGACTGGGCCAAGCTAAAGCCAGGAGCCAGGAGCTTCAGCCAAGTATCCGTCGTAGGTGCAGGGTCCCAAGCACTCAGGCCATCTTGTGCTGCTTTCCCAGGTGCGTTAGCGGGGAGCTGGATCAGAAGTGGAGCAGCCGGGACTCAGAACACAGCCCTCTGAAGTGGAATGCCAGCATCCCAAGTGGCAGGTAAGCCCACCACCCCACGATGCCTGCCCCAGATCTTCTATTTCTAACGTCTAACCCACTGTACTCAAATCTAGTTTGGAAGCAGCTTCTATTACATCAGGCAATGCTACTTTACAGGAATCATCCTACATTCTCCAAGCCAGTTTTGGAGCCCTGGACATATTTTGCTGGTCCCATGTGGCATTTTCAAAGGATTTTCTTTTTACAGTCCTCACACTTTGATAAATCGCCTCTTGCTTCGAATGCATCTGACTAGGATCACTCCAGTGTCCCGAAGCGAAACGAGGTCAGTTCACGCAAGGCTCTCTTTCTAAAAATTGCGGTTTTCTGTTCTTGCTCCATCAGGGGGTTCCGAGTGTGGGGATCTGTGAGCTGGTTTTTCCCTCTTGGTTTCATGTCCTGGGTGGGGGTTTTCTGCCTCTCTGAGCCAGAGAGAAGAAAGGAGAGTGCAATGCGAGTTCCTGCCGCTGCCTTCAGGGAGCGACAGAGCAGAGAGAACAGCGGAGCGGGCAAGGCTGGGCACGGCGGCGGCAGAGTCCGAGGGCCTGGGCACAGACTTCCAGCCGAGAGCAGGCTCGGCCGGCTCACCACAGCCCGCAGGCAGCAGGGCAGGACCTCGCTGGCGAGAATTCAGGTTAATTGCTGCTAAAATTACACGGGGCTTTTTTTTTCTCCCCACTACTATTTATTGTCATAGGAAAAAAAATTCTAGAAAGTTCTGCCACTGAGGACTTAATGAACAGAAACGTACAGACCCTGGAAGGCTTGAGCTCTTGTCCCCAGCACACCTGGGAAGGGCGAGTCCCCTTCGTCTGCAGCCTGAGGGCGAGAGGGCTTCAGTCCTCCAGCATTTCCTCACCCCCATGTGCTCCTGGTACCAGCTCAGGCCTGGACTCTGCTGAGCTGCTTTAGGCCTGGTGCCTCCTGTGTGACATATGGGCCTTGCTGGGGACACATGGTGTCCCTTGGACAACTCCTGGGTTGTCATCTTCAAAATGTGGCTGTGTTCGGAAATGGGGCTGTTAAGAAGATGTCATTAAGGGAAAACACACAGATAGACAGACACCCAGATGCCAAGGACCAAAGCCTAACACGACACTGCCCATGGCTGCACCCCAGACTTCCAGTCTCCAGAACTGGGAGAAAAGCCGAGCTGTGCAAACCTCCCCGTGTGTGCTACCCCACGATGGGAGCCCCAGCACGCTAACCCAGGCCCAGCCCGATTCCCACCCAGTTAAACCGCGGCTCCCTGCACTCTTGGGTGTAACAGCTGCATGAAAGGGCTCCTCTGAGGATTCATCTCTGTCCTGAACTGGGGGTCAACCAGCACTTTCTGTAGGAAGCCAGGCAGTAAACACTTTAGGCCTGGAATGCCAAGAGGCAAAAGGCAGAATATTATGTCGGATTTCAGGGAACCATTTATAACAGGTAGCTGCTTATACTTGTACACCTGTGTTAAGTGCAGCACTGGCCACAGTAGCCAAAAGTTAAAAACAATTGAATGTCCATCCACAGATGAATGGATCAACAAAATGTGGTCAATAGGTACAATGGAATGCTATTCAGCCTTGGAAAAGAAGGGAACTCTTAGACATGCTACAACACAGATGAACCTTGAAAATGCTCAGTTAAAGAAGTCAGACAAAAAGGACTAATGTGTGATTCCACTCATGGGAGGTTCTTAGAATGGCAAATTTGTAGAGACGGAAAGTGGAATGATGCATAGCCAGCCTGGGTGGAGAGAGCGCTACCGCTGAATGGATACGTAGAATTAGAATGGGATAATACAAGCCGGCACCGTGGCTCACTAGGCTAATCCTCCACCTGCGGTGCCGGCATCCTGGGTTCTAGTCCTGATTGGGGCGCTGGATTCTGTCCCGGTTGCTCCTCTTCCAGTCCAGCTCTCTGCTGTGGCCCGGGAAGGCAGTGGAGGATGGCCCAAGTGCTTGGGTCCCTGCACCTGCATGGGAGACCAGGAGGAAGTACCGGATCCTGGTTTGGATCGGTGCAGCGCCGGCCACAGTGGCCATTTGGGGAGTGAACCAACGGAAGGAAGACCTTTCTCTCTGTCTCTCTCTCTCTCACTGTCTATAACTCTCTCTCTGTCTCTCTCTCTCTCTCACTAACTCTGGCAAAATAAATAAATAAAAATAAATAAAATAAATAGGCCGGCACTGTGGCTCACTAGGCTAATACTCCGCCTTGCGGCGCCGGCACACGGGGTTCTAGTCCCGGTTGCCCCTCTTCCAGGCCAGCTCTCTGCTGTGGCCAGGGAGTGCAGTGGAGGATGGCCCAAGTGCTTGGAGAAGCACCTGGCTCCTGCCATCAGATCAGCGCAGTGCACCGGCCACAGTGCGCCGGCCTCGGTGGCCATTGGAGGGTGAACCAAAGGCAAAGGAAGACCTTTCTCTCTGTCTCTCTCTCTCACTGTCCACTCTGCCTGTAAATAAATAAATAAATAAATAAAGAATGGGATAAAACAAAAGGTCTTCAAGTGGATAGTAGTGACTGATGCCCAAGCTTGTGGATGCACTTAAGTGGCACTGAATTGTAGACTGACAAATGATTCAAATGGTAAGTTTTATGTTACATATAGTTCACCCTAATTAAAAAGGGCTATTAAAATACAAAAATCCAGCTCTCTGCTATGGCCTGGGAAAGCAGTGGAAGATGGCCCAAGTCCTTGGGCCCCTGCACCCACGTGGGAGAACTGGAAGAAGCTCCTGGCTCCTGGCTTTGGATCGGCGCAGCTCTGGCGTTGCAGCCATCTGCGGAATGAACCAGTGATGGAAGACCTCTCTCTCCCTCTTCCTTTCCCTCTCCCTCTGCCTCTGTGTAACTCTGCCTTTCAAATAAATAAATATATCTTTAAAAACATAGATAATACATCCAGCAAAAGGGAAAAAATTGATTATAAAACCCTAGTCATCAAAATACCATTAAAAAGCAAGACAAAGCACAAACTGGGAGAAGGCATTTGCAGCACATATACTCGTCAGGAGCTTTCTCCTAATCCAGAATATAATAAGGACTCCTACAAATGAGTCAGACAAAGACCCATAACCCAATAAAAAATCAGCAAGTGACATAATAGGTAGTTCTCCTCAGAGGAAACACGAATAGGCAGGAAACATGAAAAGATGCACAGCCTCATTACTAATTTGGAAAAATGCAAACTTCAATCCTCAAAGGATAACATTGTGCATCCACAAGACTGGCATACATTTAAAAATCTGGCAAGAATATAGAACACGGGAACATCATTTGTTGCTGGCAGGAGCCTAGACTGGTACCACCACTTCGGGGAGCAATGTTGGAATTATCTAGCACACATTATCCTCTGGCCCATCCACCTTGTTTTAGAGAAACTCATGCACAAGAATGACCATGGCAGGATGGTCTATGAGAGGGAAAATAAAAAAGAATATAAATGTCAATGACAAGAGACTAGAGAGATAAGCAAAATGTGATATGCTCACTTGGTAGCCAGCTTCCAAGTTGCCATCTCCTGGTATTCTTGTGTTTATGCCGTCACCGCCCACACTCACCAGAGCTGACCTGTGTCACCAATAGGGTATTTCAGAAATGATGCTGCATCGCTTCCCAGGGTGGGTCAGGGAAGCACTGTGGCTTCTGACTTCTGGCCCCCTCTGCTGGTTCACACTCACTGGAGGAAGCCGGCTGCCATGCTGTGAGGATATTAATGCAGTCCTAACCCACAGGGCAAGCAACCGAGGCCGCCTTCCAACCAACGCCACCAAACTCGCAGTCACGGGGCTGAGCCGTCTTGGACACAAATCCTCCAGCCCTAGTCCAGCCTTCAGATGACTGCGTTCTTGGCCAGTATCTTGACTGCAGGCTCATGAGAGGCCTGAGCCGGCACATCTCAGCTAAGCCGCCTTGAAGCTCCTGACCTACGGAAACCATTGATTGTGATTTTGAACCGCTAGATTCTAGAGTCATTTATGGCAGACCAATCGATAACTAATACAGACACGTAAGGGACTATTGGACAGCAGTGACAACAAGCGATAGCTAACGTAAAAGTAGTATTATGAGAAAAAGAGCTGAAAAGATATAGTTATCATTTGTATAATAATGTTAATATAAAATTAAAACCAAACAATATATTGTTAGAAATATACGTATATATAATAAAATTATGTAGGCTATGGGGCCGGCGCTGTGGCGCAGTGGGTTAACGCCCTGGCCTGAAGTGCCGGCATCCCATATGGGCACCGGTTGGAGACCTGGCTGCTCCACTTCCCATCCAGCTCTCTGCTATGGCCCGGGATAGCAGTGGAAGATGGCCCAAGTCCTTGGGCCCCTGCACCCACATGGGAGACCTGGAAGAAGCTCCTGGCTCCTGGCTTTGGATCAGCGCAGCTCCGGCTGTTGCGGCCATCTGGAGAGTGAACTATCAAATGGAAGACCTCTCTCTGTCTCTCTGCCTCTCTTCTCTCTGTGTAACTCTGACTTTCAAATAAATAAATAAATCTTTAAAAAAATTTATGTAGGCTAGCACAGGAGTAACAAATACAAAATTCAGGAAAGTGGTTACTTCCCAGGGGTAGGAAGCAAAGATGCAATCAGAGAGACACAGGAGAGTTTCCAGTGGAAGTGTTTTTCTTCTTAAGCTGAGGGGTACACCAGTGTTTATTATATTAATCCTATAGCTTTGGGGAAGTATGAGAAGTGTCATAATGTTTTACAAGAAAGTGACAGTGGCCAACTGTACTCATTTCCTAAGCTGTTGGGAGGTCGATTATGCCAAGGACAAAGGCTCACCGTCGGGTCTGGTGAAGTTGAGGTCACAGAGGACCCTAGGCTGCACAGTGAGCTCCTTTATAGAAGCATAAGTTGGCACGCCCCCTCCCTCTGCCCGTCCGCCGTGAGATGACACAGCAGATGCTGGCCCTTCGTCCTGGACTTTCCACCTCCAGAACCACAGCCAATAGATTTATGTGGATTGTAAGTCACCCAGTCTGTGGTTCTATGAGTCAGCTTCTCCCCCTACAGTGAAATATCCGAGACAATCTACTGATGGAGGAAGAGGTTTGTTTTGGCTACAGCCCTAGAGGCTCACAACCTAAGATCCGCTGGCCCCATTGGTTTGCCCCTGGGAGAGAGGGTGACGTTCCAGAGGTGGCACACGGAGCACCCATGGCAGGAGAAGGCGAGTGCACGTGTCTGAATCTATAAAGCCACCAGAGTCCAGCCGGGAGGGCTCCATCCCAAAGACCCAGTCCAGCCCAATCACTTCCCCAAGGCCAGCATTGATCACTTCCCAGGCCACAAGTGATGAAGTTCCCACCCTCTTAGTACATCGGCATAAGACTCTGGGACTAACTTGAGTCAGTTTAGAGGCCAGGTCATTTTCAAACCACAGCAGTGGGATCTGGTCACAGCAACACCTGCTATGCCACGACGCTGGCCCCGAAAAGACAGACTTTCAGTGGCTAGAGGAACAACTATATATCTGAGAACTGAAGAGTACCCACAAGTCATAAAAAGCAATTGTTCCATAGCCATGGACACATTTAACCATCAGAACCAGGCCTGCATCCGTTCCAGTGGTGCCCAGCTTGCCTTGGAGAACATGACTTCACAGTCTGACCTTGCAGCTTGGGAAGGTCAGGCAACCAGGGGTCAGCTTGCCACAGAGAATGTAACTCCGACCTCAATCAATGCACCACAGCTCAGGCAGTAACCACACTTCCACTGAGGGTGGCAACCCACTGCTGCCCCCAAAGTCCTCTAATCCTGCGGCCCCTGCTCTCCGAAGCCTTACACAGCCAACGACCAACCCTGCTCAGAGACGCGGTCCAACCAGCATCGAGCTCCTTGGTAATGGTAAGCACCTGGCTCCACTTTATTTTCCTATTTCAGGTGTTCACTAGAGCCATATTCTGTGACTTGCTGGTGTCCTCCACGGATGAGTCATCGCTTGAGCACAGCCTTCAAACCCCTCCCCCTATAGCCTCAGCGAATTAGGACCCAGAGCACCCAGAGACCTCAGTGGCACAGGCTGACAGAGCAGGAGACCAAGCAGGGGCCCAGAGGGCCCACCCAGGGGCAGGGTTATCCCCAGAAGAGAGTAGCTGATCAGGATGGAGGGAGAGTGAGAATTCAGGCTGCATTTTATATCCAAAGGGGCATTGTAGAATGAGCCATGCAAGGGTTCATTCCAGGCATCCTTACAACCCTTGATGACAGATGTTGATGGCTACAGGTGATGTGTGTTTTAGAGCAGACTTCCAGCTATGGTTAAGACAGTAAGAAAGGGCTTTGGTCTTCCATCCACTGGTTCACTCCCCAAGTGGCTGCAATGGCTGGAGCTGAGCCAATCCAAAGCAAGGAGCCAGGAGCTTCTTCCAAGTCTTCCATGTGGGTGCAGGGACCCAAGCATTTGGACCATCTTCTACTGCTTTCCCAGGCCATTAGCAGAGAGCTGGATCAGAAGAGGAGCAGCTGGGATTTGAACCGGCACCCATATGGGATGCTGGTACTGCAGGTGGCGGCTTTATCTGCAGGTCCATTGTCTATGTCTTCTTAAAGGTAAATTTCTGTTCACTGAAGTTACAAGAATATTTGCTTACACTTCTGTTACCAAGCCTGGTTTTTTAAGCAGAGAGACTTCCTGGCTTACATCACCAAAAGGGTCAGGAACCCAGCTCCACCCTGGCCTCTGGATCTCTCTGAGTCAGCTTTGTTCCCATGTGATGGCCAAGATGGCTCATGGCGGGCAAGCTTGCCTTCCACTGGCTTTAAAGCATCAGCTAAGAGATCCCAAAGCTTTTAAGTTTTGTCCTGCACACTTAGGTGTTTAATCCAGGTGGGGCCGCTTTTGTGTATTGGATAAGGGGAGTCTTTTTTTTTTTTTTTTTTTGGACAGGTAGAGTGGACAGTGAGAGAGAGAGACAGAGAGACAGAGAGAAAGGTCTTCCTTTTTTCCGTTGGTTCATCCCTCAATGGCCGCTGCAGCTGGCACACCGCGCTGATCCAAAGCCAGGAGCCAGGTGCTTCTCCTAGTCTCCCATGATGGTGCAGGGCCCAAGCACTTGGGCCATCCTCCACTGCACTTCCAGGCCACAGCAGAGAGCTGGACTGGAAGAGGGGCAACGAGGACAAAATCCGGCACCCCGACCGGGACTAGAACCTGGGGTGCCGGCACTGCAGGCGGAGGATTAGCCTATTGAGATAAGGGGAGTCTTGATCATCGTGTTTGTTTCTGTATCGGTCACTGCTGGCTCAGGTCTCCCGAAACATTTCTTCGCTTGTCTTCAGGGACGTCGCGTGCTCTGTGTTCCCTCCCATAAAGAGACTCGTTGCTGCTTCTCCATCTGACGGCTTTTCTTCCTCTTCTCACCCTGCAGGGATGGTCTGAAGCAGCACCCTCTCCCCGTGCCTGTCTGCACTCTCTCCGCCTCCTCTCTAGGTAATCTTCTCCAGCTCCCTGGCTACCCATGACCCCTGACTGTTGAACACACTCTCCACTTGGCTCACCCCTCCCCATCTCTCAGGCCCCAACCAAATGCACCTTCCCAGTGAGGCCTTCCGTGACCACGTGACGTAGATGGCAGCACCTCTCTCTCTCCACTTTCTTTCTTTTCTGTCAAAGCATCACCGGTCACTTCCTGCTCTTCTATTAGAAGTCTATTGCACATTGTCTGTCCAGCACTAGAATACACGCCTCCAGGCCTTTGAGTTGTTTGTCGATGAATCTAAATGACTCAGAGCAGTGCCTGCCACATTACAGGTGCTCAATAAATATTTGTGGTAAAAGCAGCAATGGCGGTGGATTGACACGGTGCTTCATGGCTTGTGGAGCTCTTATATGCAATTATATTCCTCCTAGTGTCCATCTGACGCGCAGAGGTGTGAATTTGCCTGCATCTGAGAATGGCAGAGCACTAACATCTCCTTTGGAGGCCTCTTGGAGTTTTGGACTCAGAACCCTTTAATCCCAGCTGTATGCATTATTAAGTGTGTGACTGTCACTGGAAGACACTGAACTCTTAAGGTGACTGCAGGCCAGGCCATCTGCCATTCAGTGTCACACGTAAAAGGAATGTGGTTCTGATGAAGTGACAAACCACTCACATGAATGCAGGTACAGAGGCCTTTGAAGGTGAAGTCTCAAGAAATCCAGGGCTGTAGAGCTGCGTGGTTCTTAATTGTTTCTTTTCAGCAAAAAATACACTCCCGCCCTGGTTTTGATGCCACCATAAACATTTTTGCTGGAAGCAAAATACTGCAAAACGTTGTTACTCATCTCAGCTGTCAGCACACAGCTCCCAGCGCCCCAGCCCGCTCACGCAGGGGGTTACTGAGCAAAAGTGCTCTTGGCTTCCAGGCCCTTCAGGAGACAGAGAAATGACAATACCCAGACCTCCGTCCACCTTGCATTACTGTTAAACAAATCTGTGTAACCCAGTGTATAAAAATGCACAGTGGAGCAGCCAGGGAAATTCATTTATTTACTGAGTGTCACAAAGCTACTTCAGCTTGTTGCATGAGAATTTGGGCACTTGTGTTTAATTGGCTGGTTTGCACTCTGACATATCCTACAAGTGAGGTACATATTCTCTCTCTCTCTCTCTCTCTCTCTCTCTCTCTCTCCAAAAGCTTGAGGGTGATATGAAATGAGATTTTGAATTCTCTGGGAACTCAATGGGCTGATAATGTTGCTGCCAGTTTTGACACTGTGGGGCAGGCTCTACTCTTAGTAGAGTTGATAATGGCAAAGCGCACCTTCCACAAAACGTGGGAGAGATCCCAGGCACTTTGCAGGAGGCAGTCAAGCTCAAGGGCCTGTTGACAGCACTGGAGAAGACAAAGGTGACAAACTGGTAACCAGGGGACCCTGGGTGATCCCAGCCTCTTATCAGCAACACAGCTAGCTAACGGTCCTCAGGGAAATCTGCTAAGGTGATTAGAATGACTGACACTGATTAACAGGGAAATTAAAACTTATTCAAGGAAGGCATGGTGGCACAACAGGTTAAGCCTCCATTTGGGAAGCCCTCATCCCATATCGGAGTGCCAGTTCAAGTCCCAGCTCCTCTACTTCTGATCCAGCTTTACCCTGATGTGCCTGGGAAGCAGCACATGACGGCCCAAATACTTGGGTCCCTGCCACCCAAGTGGGAGACTGGATTGTGTTCTGGGCTCCTGTGTCCAGCCTGGTTCAGCACCAGCTATTGGGGGCTTTTGGGAAGTGAGCCAGTGAATGGAAGGTCTCTGTCTCTCCCTCTCTTTTTGTCACTCTGCCTTTCAAATAAATTAATAAATAAATTCTAAAAAACTGAATCAGGAGGAATTTACCACAGAACTTTTCTAGATAAACCCAAGTGCCCACTGTTCTATTGATTCAGGGTTCAGACACAGGGTAGATGTCACCTACAGGGTTATTAGCAATATTACCAGAATGCAAGAGGAATGGTCAGAGAGGTTTACTACTTTAATACACAATACTCAACTCTCAGGGGCTTAACCAAAAGAGTCGCAATCCAATATGGGTTGGTAGGGGGCCAAGGGCTCGGCTCCACACCATCATTCAAGGACTCGGGTTTCTATCTGGTAGTCCCTCTACCCTCTAGATGGAAACTATGGAGTTCTTGCAAATTTTCCTGAATCCAACCAACAGACTGAGGAAGAGAGACATGGGGAGACCTCTGCAGGGATTAGGTCTGGGAATACCACGCTTCACTGGCCAAGAGTTACATCAAACACACACATACACACACACACACACACACACACCGCCCCCAACTGCAGGGGACTGGCAAGTACAGAATGGCTGTGTGGAGAGGAAGGAGAGGACAGCTTGGTGTGGCGCACCAGCAACCTCTGCTATAAAAGTTTCATAAAAGAACTAAGCTTATTCTTAAGAGCAAGTGTATTAAAGCAGATTCTGGACGAGATCCTACATTTTGTCCAGGCCCTCCACCCCTGGAATTCCCCTCAGAGAGAGGGGAGGGCTCATTGCTTCAGAGCAAGTTTGGTTTTAGTCAACCCTCAAATGATGAATTTGATCAATTCTGAAGAAAATGCCCTGGGTTCCTCAGATCTTACATTGCTAGAAAATATAAGTCAAGTCAGTCTCTACAATATAAGTCAAGTCAGTCTTTGTGTATGTGAACAAAGAGAAATTAACCTACCTAGGGGCATTCTCTTTCTTTAAAGGGTAGAGTGGGGTTGGGGGTTGATCTACCAGTTAAAAGGCCCACATCCCAAACTCGATTACCTGATTTCATCTCCTGGCTTTTCTCCCAATGCCAGCTTCCTGCTAATGTGCACATCCTGGAAGGCAGGGAGTGATGACGGCTCAAGTAGTCAAGTTCCTGCACCCATGTGGGAGACCTGCATTGAGTCCCTGTCCACCTGACCCAACCCTGGCCACGGCAGGCATCTGGGGAGAAAAGCTGCAGATTGGGACTCTGTCTCTTTCTCTGCTGATTCTATTAAAAAAAAAATAAAAAGGAATCCACTTAAGAGATTTGGGGTGGTAGGCTGGAGAAGGGTATAGGGCAGACGGTTCAGTGGTTCACACAAAGTTTTTTTTGGGGGGAGGATTCTAAGTCACAAGGTCCTGACCCTTTAGGCTCTGAAATGCACAACTGGTCCAAGTGGGCCCCCTCCCTGTCAATCTCCTGAGAGAAAGAAAGCAGCTCTTTGTAGGCAATGTCGGTCTTGGTTGAACAAAGACCAAATCAGCGAGTCCCACCTTGACTTATGATGGGTCAATCTGTGATGTTTCCACTTGACAACGGTGTCAAAGCATACCGGTAACAACCCTGTGTTTCACAGCCAGTATATGTAGTAGTCAGCTTTTCATTGCCACCTAATGCAATCTAATCACTTCCTGAAATCCATGCCTTCAGAGAGTATCACTGGATTAAGCTTCCACTCTCTCAGCCCCACCAACATCAAGATTTTGGGAGTTAGATATTTACATGAGTTGGATAGCCAAATCATGTTCAAACTATAGAAGTATGATATTCAATAATTTACTGGACATATTCAATGCTTTATCATAAAACAGGCTTTGTATTAGATGATTTTGCCCAGCTGTAGACTAACTTAGGTTCTGAGCATATTTAAGGTGGGCTAGGCTAAGCCACGCTATGACGTTCAGTAGGTTAGGTGTATTACCTGTACGTTCCACTCTAGTGTTTTCAATTTATGATAGGCTTATCAGCACATATCCATACAGTAAATTGATGAGCAACTGTGTATGCTTTATTATACCACACCCTTCTTTAAAGACTTCCAGGGCAGGCATTTGGCACAGCAGTTAAAATGTCACTTGGGATGCACTTACCGCATATCAGAGTGCTTGGGTTCAAGCCCCAGGTCTGCTTTCCAATCCAGCTTCCTTCTAGCGTGCATCCAGGTAGGCAGAAGGTAACGGCTCAAGAACCCGGGTCCCTGTCACCCACGTGGGATACTTGAATTGAGTTTCTGGCTTCTGGCTTCAGCTTGACCTAGCCCTGATTGTTGGGGGCATTTGCAGGAGTGAATCAGTGGATGGAAGTTATCTGTCTATCTCTGTCTCTTTGCCTTTCAAATAAATAAAAAATAAAGAAAGTTTTAAAAAAAATCCTGGTCTAGCGACCCACCATTTTAATAGGAAGAAAATATACTGGCTACACAGGGATAGGGATGGTGGGGTCCAAAGTCTTGAATTGGAAACTCTGTCTTCCTGAAAATGATCTATACAATAGATTTCCTTTCTGTAAGTGAATAAGCAAACACACACACCAAAGTAAGCATTACGTTCATAAAGGAAAATTAATTCTTCTCACTAGTGTGACTCCAATAGGTTAGACATAGATTCAGATTCCCCCTCTGCTATTTCAGGAAAGAGCTTGATGTCCAGCTGTGGGGGCCATGGTCAGCAGGCAACTGCCAGCTGGCAGTTCTGTCCAAATCTGCCTCAACTGCAGAGGACCACCTTCCCTGAGGTCAGCCCCTTCCTGGGGTAGCCCCGCTCCCAGCGATGAGTGGGGTGTGGGTGTAAAGGCCAGTCACCGTGGCCCAGGCCAGAAGACTAATGGGAGGTTTTCCCTGCAGAGCTGCTCAATGGGCTGGCCAAGCCCTTGCTGGAGTGGTATTGCATCTCAGTTTCTTCCTCTCTCCCTATTCCTAATTTCTTCCATTTCCCTATAAAGATGTTGATCTCCAATAAATATCTTACCTCCCAAATTCCATCACAGCGTCTGCTTCCAGGGTGCTCACCCTATCACAACTTCGTGAAACAATAAGCTGGAAGTGTTTGGCTAAAGAGGATGTGGTCCCTTCCTGAAAATGACCGAGAGAGCTGAAGTGGCCCTGTCCTTCCATCTCGCGTCGGTGCTCAGCCCCAGTTCAAGAGCTTTTGACTCCCACATCTCTCTTAGGATGGACCACTCACGATTGCTAGCATTCTCTATAAGTATCCTGAGTGGTTCTCCTTCCTCCTTTCAGTCAAGGTGCAGCTGCTTTTGAGGAAACTAAATTTTTTTCAAAAATTAATATCAGTTTAAAGGATTATATACTCCCCAGAAAATGACAGCTTACCTAAACACAGTTGGCTCTTCTGACCTAAAACTCTTACCCTTGGTCGGCGCCGCGGCTCACTAGGCTAATCCCCCACCTTGCGGCACCGGCACACCGGGTTCTAGTCCCGGTTGGGGCGCCGGATTCTGTCCCGGTTGCCCCTCTTCCAGGCCAGCTCTCTGCTGTGGCCAGGGAGTGCAATGGAGGATGGCCCAGGTGCTTGGGCCCTGCACCCCATGGGAGACCAGGAGAAGCACCTGGCTCCTGCCATCGGATCAGCGCGGTGCGCCGGCCGCAGCGCGCCGGCCGCAGTGGCCATTGGAGGGTGAACCAACAGCAAAAAGGAAGACCTTTCTCTCTGTCTCTCTCTCTCTGTCTCTGTCTCTCTATCTCTCTCTCTGTCCACTCTGCCTGTCAAAAAACAAAAAAAACAACAAAACAAAACAACAACAAAAAACACCTCTTACCCTCACTTTCTTGTGATAAGCACATTGGTTTTGTTAATCAAGATCCATTCAACTTTCTCACCTGCTGCCTGAGTTCAGAAACACTGTGTTCCAGCCACGTTGGTCTATTTGAAGTCTGAGCTTGGGCTCATTTCTAAAACCATACCTGTGCCTGTCTCATGCTTCCTCGTTGCCAAGTGCATTCCCACTTGTTTAATTCCCGCTTTAAGTCCTCCTTCCTCCATGAAGATTTCCCAGCCTTATTGATCTTTTTGTCCCACACGTATTTGTGTTTAGGAATCATGTGACACCTTACATCATCTGTTTCTCTTTTATGTAAATGTTCTTTTCCTCAATTCAACTCTATAGATATTCCTTGTATCTTTGCAACAATATTATTCTCAATGTACCTTTACTGCTTTTAGTTTCCCTGCCCCCTGTCTCACCTAGAATGGCGGTTGTCTCAATGGCCTATTACTACAGAACAAGCCACATGCAGCCTTGTGGGTTGCCTGAGCTCTCAGATGGGAAGTTTTCACTTGGGGTCTCTTGTGCAGCTGCAATCAGATGTCACTGAGATTCAGTCCTCTGAAGACTCAGCAGGGCTGAGCTCCCCGGGTGCTTCACTCTCGTGACACACACCGGAAGCTGCTCATTGGCTGAGAGCTCAGCTGGCACGGTCAACCAGAGCACCTGTCCATGGCCTCACCAGGTGGGTTTTCACAGCCTGACAGCTGGGTTAAGAGGAGCACTTCAAGGAAGAGGGCTCCAAGATTTCCAAGCAGCAGCCAAAAATCCCAAAATGTGACTTCCACCACATTCCCTTGGAAAGGAAAGTCACTAAGCTTGGTTCAGATTAAAAATGAGGGCAACAGTACTCCCACTCTTTTAAAAAATTATCTGAGAGACAGACAGAGAGCTCTCATTGCTTGGTCACCCCTTAAGTGCCCAGGGCTGGGCCAGGCTGAAATCAGGAGCCAGGAACTCAATTCGGGTCTTCAACATGGGTGGTAGGGCCCCAGCTACTGGCATCATCCCAGTGTGCACATTAGCAGGAAGCTAGAATTGGAAGAGCCAAGACTCAAACCTGAGCACTTAAATGTGAAATGTGGGCAGCCAAGTGGTATCTGAACAGCTGGGCCAAACACTGCGCCTGACCCCAACTGTGGATGGGAGTATCAAGAGCACACTCCTGAGGAATACATGGGATGGAATCTGTGTTGCTATCATCTCAGAGAACGTATTATCAGCCGAGGCAGGTCATGGGTATGAGGCTGTTTTGGGATCACACTGGTCTGTAACTTACCTGGTACGGGATTTTGGCTTCCTTAAAGTACATAAACAAAGGGTCTCCAAAAATTCATGGGGGATGCATATTATAAAAAAAGCTATGCTTTGATTTCAAATTTTTTGCACCAAAATAAAATTATCTCTTAATTCTATTTTCCTGTGACTCTTTTTAAGTTCTGCTCTCCTGGTGTCTGGGTGAATGTCTGAGACATTGGTAGGAAAGCCAGCTGGGTAATCAGAACAGGGAACGTTTGTGGCACTGAACCAACCAGGCAGCGAAGGAGGCACCTTCATACACCCCCCACTCTCTGAAAAAGGCAACACGTCCGCTTTTCCTGAATTTGGAGAGATTACAGGAGGGCTGGGAAGGTCTGATATCTTGCTCTGGGTGGTGGTTGCACAAGTTTGCCCATCACACTGCAGGAAGATCAGAGAGATCGGAAAGCTGTTCAGGACAAGCCCTGCATGTGATGATTAGACGTGCGGGGAAGGGGGCCGAGCGCTCCGTGAGTTGCTGGAGGACGCAGTGCACGCACAGGGTGTCCTGTCAGTGGGGGCAGCTTTGGGAGGGGAGCCTCTTCCTGACCTTCAGTTCCCCTTGGGCTCTTGATGACCTGTTTCTAGACCCTTCCTCTCTAGGTACCCTGTGGGTTCTAGTTGCCTCTGCGTGACTCCTGCCATGCAAGTTCCCTCTTTAGCAAGACCCTGAGCACAGACTTCCAGTGCCCGGGGCTGTCTTGCTCACCACTGTAGAATCCCCAGCACGCAGCACAGTGTTGGGCACAGAGGGGCTCTTTAGAAGTTCCTGTTGCAAGGAGAACCAAGCAATATGGAGTTGCCACAAACTCAGAGCCACAGAACAAAATGGCCCGTTGTGCAGGACTGTCAAACCGAGTGCTTCACTAAGAATTTTGCAAAGTCAAGCAGGAAAGCCAGCACACGACTTACCCTAAACAATTTCCATAGACCTGTTCATTTAAGATTAGTACAGTGGCCTGGAGGCATATTTTATCTCACTCCAAAAGTAAGAAATTTTTAAAAGATGGTTGCAATGGTAGTTTTCTTACAGATGATGTTTCTGATTTTTAACCATTTTTTTCCCTTAGCAGCTGTCATTTTGTGTCTTCCCTTTTTCCCAGAAACTCTCATCAAGTCCTTTCTTTTGTTGTTTGTCCCTCTCTCTAGTGGATGTCTTCCAGAGCTGGGTCTCAGGGCAGAGCTGGAATAGGAAGCGCTGATAGTGAGCAGCCCCACGCATTCCACACCTCTTGTGGACACTTACTCCCTTCCTCAGGCCCCGCCCACACATTCCTTCATTCAGTGAACGCTTAAAGAAATGATGACTACTGCTGTGTTCCAAGTACGGCTTGATGGTGTCAAGGCCACCTTTGTGGACAAACACTTGAAGTCCCACCCCTTGGGGCACATGGGTCTAGCAGAGTCATTGCCTCTGCCCAGTATTCTCCACCTGACAGTCCTAGGTCCTAAGTGTCTCCTGAGGTCCTAGACCCTCCCTTTGGTGTCCATCCACCTGCTCAGCAAGGTGAGAGTCAGCTGCAGTCCATGCATCTTTGTGGATGTATAATTTAGCAGGTCTTCTTAACCTGTAGTTGAAAATAAAGGCGTTCAACCACGGCTTTCTGGCTAGAGCATCTTCAGGCCAGTTAGGGAAGAAAGTCCAAACAGGGAGTAGAGTCCAGGCAAGGAGCCAGGCGGGGTGGAACTGGGTCCTTACCCTCCGGTATTACAACCTGAAGTTGCTCTGTCTGCCTCCAGTAGATTCCATTGCTCTTCTTCATGGTCAATCTGTTATCTCGCATGGCTACTCCTGTACACGGGTCCCTCAGTACTTGTGAAGGACTGGTTCCAGGACCCTGTGGATACCAACCCTCCTGGATGCTCCAGTCCCTTCTGCAGAATGAGGGAGGATTTGCACTCCATGTACTCTGAGTCAGCTTTAGCGTACTTGTGATGCCTAATGCTGTGAAAATGCCATGTGAATAGCTGTTAGACTGTATTGCTTGGGGGTGTAATGACAAGGAAAAGTGTCTGTACATGTTCAGTACAGATGCATTTCTTTTCGAGCAGTTTCAATTTGCAGTTGGTTGAATCTGTAGACGCAGAACCTACAGATACAGATGGGCTGGCTCTACTTCATCTCACTTCAAATACTACAGTGTGTCAGGAAATAAAACAGACTCCGTGAGAGAACAACCAGGGACCATGCAGAATGACGGAGAACAGAGTCGGGCCTTCATTTCTACTGTTGTTACTTGCAGCTGCTGTGAACCATGTCCACTAATGCTGTACACTAAATGTGCTGTCAATAGATCCGTGAAAAAGGTAACACTTAAAACGGGCTTTCCAATATGTCCTTCAGATTGCCTTACATCCCCAGAGGAAACCATTCCATATCATTGTTTTGTCTTTTGCTTTTCTCTCTTTCAGTAAGACTTCCCTCACCCTGTGCGTCCATGCCCAGTGTGTTGCACAGAGGTGTTACGTATCCATGTGGAATTTTGCAGTTTCCAAAGTCTATTTAAGGAACAGCCTTCTTCCCTGCCTCCCAGACCGTGGCCCTACGGGCATGTACAAACCAGCCTGATTTTCTGTTTTTGATTCACCGGGCCAAGTTGCTACACTGACTTAATTCGTCAGCTAAAGGCCCGTAAATTCAGGAAAAACTAGTCAAAATGATTTATATTGGACTCAGACACGGAGAAGGGCCCGTGTGTCCCTTGTTATTGTGTAGAGAGTGCTGAAGCCCCATAGAAGAGACCAGAAGCAGGCACGGGGTGAGTCCATGCATGGCAGGTCTCATGCAAGCTCTCTTGGCCTCCAAGTTCATTACCTAGGAACACACGGAACGTGGTAATGACTGCTTCAGACACGCCAAACGCTCAGTCTGACTCAACATCTCGCTTTGATGGCAAGAACCTCAGCAGACAATGAATGAACAAGATCTGAACGTGCACCTCATTGTGAACCCGGGCATGTGGAAGCGTGTTTCCAAATCAGGTCAAAGACCGGCTGCCCAGGAAGTCTTTCCCCTCTGTTTTGGGCATCAGGCCCAAAGCTCAGAGTTTACCTCGCTTCCCCTCATCTTGTTCACTTTCCTCTCTGCTGCCACATTCAATACACTAGCCAGGCTTCTTGGCTGTCTCTATCCACTGACCTACCACGTGTCACCAAGCCCATTAGCATCCTACTAGCCGAGCCAGCTCTCCCTCCCGCCCCCAGAACTGCACCGGTCTCCTCTCCTACCTCACTACCACAGTTACTCACCCCCTCCAACCAAAA